CCACCAGTCCGTACATCTCGTCACTCTCATTGGCCTCCGGGATGGGCTCCATGATCAGTATTGTTACCTGCGTGTAGCAAGTAAAACAAACTACACGCTCAGCGTCAGCTGAGGAATACGCTAATACAACAATTCCAAATTGAATAGCGAATAGACATACAATTATTCATGATGTGACATAATATAGCATATATGTTCAGGATGATGGTAATGATACGTAATTGATGCCATACGTAATCATGATGATTTGCACTTGATGATAATTTCATGCTGTATGATTTTAACGAGCAAGGACACCCTTGCGCTATGAGATTCGCCCATTTGGTACGACGAACTCACGCGGCCTTAGTCTCACAAGGAAGACTAGAAAGTAGGGGTGGCACTCGAAACCTGAATACCATGTACGTACACTAAGCCCGGAACGGGTGATGTCGGACTAGTAAGTCCCGCACATCACGCTATAAGAGACGCAATTACGCATGATCTCTTACGCATGCATATGATATGAATGCTACAAATATGGGTAATGATATGAGTCATATGATATGAACAATTTGTAAACAATATGAATGGATAAATATACTTTATTTTATTTGGGTGAAATCTGATAAAAAATATCATTTAATTAAGCTACGGGGCTCGGAACGGTCGACCGTTTGACGCGACGGTCGACCTTGAACTACATCGCGTCGGGTTGGAGAATTACCATGACGGTCGACCGCGGTGGACCGTCGGTCGACCGTTGTTGACTGGAGGTTGACGGCGGTACTAGGATATCTAAAATACTTCTTTGAGTTATTTTAACACTTATGATTAACATATCTATGTATTTGAAGTATACTTAACATTTATATTTTCATTTAAGGTGAAGTATCAAGAAAAACATATTTTTACTTTATGAGTTTAATGAGTTTGATCTTAAAGCATAAATGACTTATAATATGGCAATCAATCCTAACGATATATCTAGATTGATATTCAACCAAGGATTGCGTTACTAAGGTGCAATGTACTCGCCTTGATAACGTTGAAGACGGAAGTGATAGGAATAAAGTATACGCCT